CATCCAATCAATCACACTAAAAACTGCAGACCATCTGAGAAGTAAACAAGTCAAAGTTTATTGCTCATGGTAAGTAGTGGGATCTGGTGAGTTTACAAAGCACTATAATAAAGTTAGAAGCTATAGCTATAAATAAAAGCTAGTCTTGGAAAGGATTGATGTTCTTCAGTTTTCTAGTCCTGTTTTCCACCAACTGCACCATATGAAGAGTGTAATGTTTTATGAAGTAGGAAATCAAGTATCCATCATGAAAATGTTAAAAGTTAAAAACTCATCTTGGTGGCCAATACACAGGGGTACCTGTGTACCTTCCTGTATTTAAAAATGTCTCTAAAAATAAGTAAAAGGGCTCAAATAACAAGATCTGTTAAAACAGAGTCATAGGAAATGCCCAAAGATGAACTTTAATTGTCTCATCCAGCAGCTCTTACTCTGTCTCTAAAACAAAATGTTGTATGTGAAATATGAAAGACAGAACACAGACGTGTGAATCCCACTCCAATCGGGACTTGAGAGTACTGCTATTTCACAAGCCATCTGGTAATAGTAAGTCCCTGTGATTCTATGCTCTAGTGTGCTCTTTCCCCTTTACCAAGCAGTCACTTCTCCCCAGGTCTCTCCCCTGCAACACAGAGGGATCATTGTTCCTAAGGCAGACAGACAGAAGCCAACGGGGAGCAGGTATTGTGTGTTCAGAAAGAACTGTTTATTATTCTCCCATCTCTGCCACACTAAATTTCAATAACCTTGAGTCTGCAACACAGCCTGATCCCAAGTGAACACAAACACTGCAGCTTCCTCCACTACATTTTGGAAACCTGCAACCAGTCTCTGCCAATGAGCCCGTGGAATGAGGTGAAATATAAACATATTAATTCTTAGTTATGTTTTTTGATATGAGTTGTGTGAAACTCAGTGTGACAACTACTCAATTTATTAGACAAACTTTCAGGGCTGTAAAGATTTAAAAACATCATTTCTAATATTCTACTCACAAGAGTTTAGATTGAATAATATACTCATTTCTACAGCGATGTGAAGTCCAATCTATAACACTTATGGAGCTTAAATGGTTATCATACATATTTCAATAATATTCCTAATTTTCCTTTATGAGTGATACTATAATCATTATGAATAAATCTTTATTTAACAAATGACACTGAGTTGTTATGAGGGGACTGCTAAAAAAATTCAACTTTTGAAGAATTAGCATCAGCTTTACAAAAGACATAATTGATTTAACATAAAGTCATTTTTCTCATACTTCATACTGCTAAATTACTTGGGTAACTACATCTTCCATCAAACTGCATATAATACTACAGCACAAGTTTACAATCTGTCAGAAGAAATCTCATCTCACACCAGTTCTATTTTCTCCCATCAAGTAATACACTCTCCCTGTGATTTACCTTCACTTCTGTTCAACTTAATTCCCCTCCTTTACATATCCTTCCTGCTCCTTAGCACATGCTCTTCTGCCATTTTTAATAAAGTTGCCTACTTCACACAAAGGCATATGTGATATCTGAAAAGCTTTTTTGATCCCAGTTTCAAGAAGCTCAGTAACTTCTGAGGCATATATGAATCTTCTGGGAGTAACACTCCACTTTGTGAATTTCAGAACTGTGCTATGGCATTAGCACAAGACAGCAAGGGTGTATCAGTGACTCTGAGACAATTAGTTCATTTCTTTCTCTGCCCCTCCATTGTCTCTCAGCCTGAAATGACCCTAACTAGTAAATGTAACAGAAAACTCAGGAGAGAAAAATAATTTCTTCAAATGTGTACTTCCTAAATATTGTTAATCTATAAGGCATTTTTGATGCTCCTCTGATTTTAACAGTTGTGTATCTAAGTTGGCTTGGCTTATAAATATTGCCCATATTCTCTCTCTTAAAAAAAGGAAAAAAATGAATTTATTACTGATTGACGTTAATGACACTGTTATCCAAATGGATCACTGTCAGTCAACTTTCCTGTCTCTGTGATCATGATTTTTCAGGTCCCATTATTCCCTTATCTGGTATGTGTTTGGAAAAGGCTGTCTGGATCCTCAGTGTGAAAACATGAGGAAGAACCCCACTAGGACAGTTTCTAAAAGATTTCCACAAAGGAAAGTAAATTGTTTAAAACAAAAGTAAAATGCTTTATTATTTATCTACTTGATTAAAGTATCACTGATGTACAATCTTATGATGGTTTCAAATACAACACGGTGGTTCAACATTCACCCATATTATCAAGTTCTCACCCCCTCCATCAAAATGCTTTATTTTCTAGAATGCATGCTCTCTAGGGCCAAGGATAATATTTAATCAACTCTATACAGTTGCAGCATAGTAATAGAAACATTAGAAATACCTATATATTATCTGTTTTCTTTGTTCATAAAAATTAAGCAAATATTTATGGAAAGAAGTTAACATGGAACCTGATGCATCTGCTTATAACTGTCAACATGTTCAAATAAAAACCCTAACTCTTACAAGGCTGCACAAAGAGATAAATGATCCATAGGTGGTGGTGAAAATAGAGGTTGGAGGGCCAGATCAGAAATGGACACTGCAGAGCCCAATTCTCTGGCACAGAGTTTTTAATTAACTTGAGACTTATCTGAGTTATTGCTGGATGGATGGAAATTGAAGCAATGAACTTAAAGGCATGGTAATTTGGAAGAACACAGACTAATAGAAAAGAAAAGACAAATAAGGATGAAATTTGTGAACCAACAGAAGTCAAGGCACCTACATCCATCCACAGGAGTACACAGCCTCCCAAAACGCCTTCGGTTGCTCTACCACTACTATGGGCAGGACCTAAGATGGGCAGCAGCAGTAGCTGCCCATGGTCCTGAACCCCAGGACATACCATGGGCCAAAAACTAGGCAAGACCATAGTCGCTCGGCAAAATTTCACATTACATTCTAGTCCTCCATAAAATTATAGTCCCAAATCATCACCAGTTTTTCCCTGTAGTTTTCATTTATTATTTTCACCATTAAAATAGATTAATTAGAACCCTCTTTTCATGTAACAGATTAAGAAGCTGAGAAAAACATTTCCATTAATTTATTAGGATTCACTCAGCAAACCTCAAAGTTACAGCTTTAGCCTGAGTCACCCTGTTTCCTAGTAACCTAGGCCAAAATTCCTACTGCCACATTTTAGACTTTAGGACCCACCATTTGATTTAAGACCAGTATCTCAGATGAATGATAAAGCTCAGTATCTCGGATGAATGATAAAGCTGAAGAGAAATATTAATAGACAAATGTATATTTGCACTAGTATAATCCTTTTAGCCAGATTCAGCATAAGAAGTTATCTTGAAAACTCTTAAAAATATTAACTCATTAAGGGTAAAGTAGAAAGTTAAGATTCAGTAATGATTAATTTCAATGGAATACTGATAAGGTAAGCAAGCATTTGAAGGTAGGGACTTGAAAACAGGTTTCCCAAAAGTAAGAGACTGTTTACCCATCCGATTTATTGTAGCCACTGTCCAAGATGGCTCCCAAGAATCCATACCTCCTAGTATCCATGCCCTGTGGCGTTCCCCCGCTACACTGAGTCAACACTGGATGTATGTGACCAGTAGAACCTGGTGAAAACAACAGTGCACTGCAGATTCTGTCTTGGCCTCTTGGATTACTCACTTGGAGAAATCAGCTGCCACGCCATAAGGACATTCAAGCAGCCAAGTAGAGAGGGGTGGAGGCCTCCCACCGAACGCCAGCTATGTAAGTGAGCCGTCTTAGAGGTGGATCCTCCTGCCCCAGTCAAGCTTTCAGATGACTGTAGCCCCAGCGAACATCTGACTGCGATCTTACTGAGACACCAGAGTCAGAACCTCTCACCTCTCTAATTCCTGACTGACAGACTGTGATAGATAACAATATTATTGCTGTTTTAAGCTGCCAAGTTTTGGGGTGATTTGTTATATAGCCCAGTAACTGGAGCTTAATTTTACCCAACATAATCTGGGCCTAATCTTCAGTGGTGTCCTTCATGAACGATCTTGACTCTCTAATAAAAAGTTTATGTGACTATTGTTTATGCTTTATGTGACCAGTGGTCGAATAGCCCAAGTATGCTGATAAAGAAATAGCAAAGAAAAGAAAGGGATGAAAGGTGTTAAGGGCTGAATTTTGTCACCCCAAAAATTCATGTTGAAATTCTAACCCCCAGTAACCAGGAATGTGAGTATATTTGGAGACAGGACCTTTTTAAAGAGGTAATTAAGCTAAAATGAGGCCATTGACGTGGACCGAACCCAATAAGGCTACTGTCCTTATAAGAAGAGAGACACCAGGTGTGCACGTACACGGAGGGAAGACCGCAATGTGAGGACACAGTGAGAAGACCATCTGCAAGCCAGGGAGAGGGACCTCAGGAGAAACCCAACCTGCTAACACTGTGATCTAGGACTTCCAGAATTTAGAACTGTAAAAAACTGAATTTCTGTCACTTAAACCACCCAGTCTGTGCTACTTTGTAATGGCATCCCTAGCATAATACAGAAGGGAAATCCATAAATTAAAAAAAAAATGACTTAGAAAATGCAATGAAAGCATTTTAAGGAACAATGGTAAACCACAGTGTCTAAAGATATACTATAAAAAAAGTACAAGGAAGTGATTACTTTAACAGAACAATTCAGGCAGCCTTCACTTTACATGATTCTAATATGCACAATTTCAATTCCCACAGTCCAGTTAAATTATTATACCAGTCCTCCAACAATACAGTTCAAATCTCACTTACCATAGTATATTAACTTTAAGAAACTGCATGAAGTACAAACTTCATTAATAGCTCTTAGCCTACGAATCACTATGTAATTAATGTATGTTCATCAGGAACAGTGACCAATCACAACGTGTCTTTCCTAGGCTGTCAGTGAGGAGTCACTCCTCATGTGTCATTCGGTTCACAGCCAGCCAGCCAACCACGGATTCACATCATCTCCTTGTCTCCCAGTGATAAACCCACATTGTATTTTACCAATACGAACAACTGAAAGAGGTAACTGGTCAACAAAGAAGAAAGTGCAGAGAAGAAATGAGAAGTGGTAACGCTGGAAATGATATTTGCAGGGACTATAATGGAGTTAGAGAAGAGCATGTGGACACTGCTGCGATTTGAAGAGTAGGTATGCAGCCAGAGGGTCTTGGTGAAGAGAAACCGACATGAATGAGAAAGTGGTGAGAGGAAGAGGATGAAATGATGCCGACAACAACTTCTTCACCTTTAAGGTCCTGGACATACTTCACACACTAAAAGCATGAAGGATAAAATACTGGAATCTGATCCAGACTTCAAAGGAAGAGCATGAAAATTCGTCAAGGCATAGAAAAGATGCTTGCTCTGTATCTTAAGTTCTAGGATGGGGAGAAGAGGGCAAACCAAGCTACTCTTGGTAAGTTTTACAAAGAAAAGTTTGTTTCTCAATGTTGCTAATGTTTTACATTACAGTGTACTAAATTTTACTACTTTTTCATTTCCCTATACAATTATAACCAAACACTAAGACAGTTTGTAATGTTTTGACCAAATATTGAACGGTCCCAGACAATCGCAATTTCTCCCACTGATGAATAAAATAATCTTTCAGGGTTTCACGTGCACTATTATCTCTATAAAACCACCACCCTGTGCAAAGCAAGGCCTGCCGGTTGCTTTGTTAGTTACTTTGAAGGGAGGGAGCTATGACTGAGACAGCCTTCTGGGGGGATTAGCGAAGTTCCATTTTCTGACCAGAGAGGCATTTATAAGGATATTGGCTTTATTATAATTTGTTAAGTTAAAGAAGTGTTTCTGTGACTCAAAGCCATGGGAGCAGGGGTCTAGTCAATGAGGACCTATCTGAAACACTGGGCCTATGTTCACCTTTTTAAGAGAAAAGAAAAGCCACAGAAATGAGAAAGTGACTTGGCAGAGGGCATAAAGGCTGCTGTCAGACATGAAATCAGAACCCAGGTCTTCCTGGCAGCCAAGTCTGCACTCTTTAAAGACTGCCAGTCTCCCATGAAACAGATTTCCCCTAAAGGGCATCTTCATTGTCCATTTCCAAGAGAGGTAATTCAGCCAGGTTTGAATGTGGAGGCCTGGGGTTTTAAGATACATTATTTAATGCTAATCAGAAAGAAAAAGACAAATAAAACAGGGAGGCCATAAAAGAGTCATTGACCTTACAAATTTTTTCCTTAAATTATTTTTCAGCTAGAAGAGATTGAGGCTTTGCAGAAAACAGTAAAATAGTTTTGCCTCCCTGATCCTAGCGCAATACATTCAAACTTAATGAATACCATGTATTCTGTGGGACTAAGGCTGGGCTCTTGTGGATTTACAATAATCTGGTTAGGTCACGATCAGTACTTGGTCTTTCCTTGTAGATTTAGTACTATCACATAACATGTTCCCCTATCACATATATACCTTAATAGCCTCTGATGTTGCTTTTTCATACAAAACCCAGCTTCTATTTGCTCACTGATGTGGGGGACGTTTTCTCTCCACTTTGTACACAGCTTTCATTAACACTAACAAGAAGTACACCTTATATAAGTAGGATATTAACTTCCACCCAATTTAGTTGGTTAGTAATTCAGAGCAAATACTAAACGTCTCTTAAGATTTATTTTCTTACCCTCGAAGTTAATGTTCCTGACATTAGGGAATTTCAAGGCTAGGAAGAGAGGGCTGTAATAAGAAAATGCACAAAAGTCCTGGGGCAAAATCTAAAACAACATTTTATGTCCTGTTTTTTTATTGATATAGTCTTTTATTAATTTCAAGTATATAAGACAGTAGTTCAACAGTTACCCATATTATTAAATCCTCACCCCCCCCCACTAGTACAGCTACTATCTGTCAACATAGGAAGATGTCACAGAATCATTGGCTATATTCTCCATGTGGTACTACTATCCCCATAACCAACCTACATTATAATTGAGAATTTTTGTGTCTCTTTATCCCCCTAACCATGCCCATTCACCCACCACAACCCCTCCCCCATGGTAACCACCAGTCCCTTCTCAGTGTCTATGACCCTCTAGATCCATCCATATTGTTGCAAATGGCAGGGTTTTTTTATGGCTGCATAATATTCCACTGTGTATATGTACCACTTCTCCTTTATCCATTCATCTAGTGATGGACACTTAGATTACTTCCATATCTTGTCTATTGTAAATATACAGCAATAAACATAAGGGTGCATTTATCTTTTCAGATCAGGAATTTTGTTTTCTTCAGGCAAATTCCTAGAAGTGGAATTATTGGGTCAAATGGTATTTCTACTTTTAGTTTTTTGAGGAACCTCTGTACTGCTTTCCACAGTAACTGCCCCAATTGACATTCCCACCAACAGTGTATGAGGGTTCTCATTTCTCCACATCCTCGCCAACACTTTTTATTTTCTTGTCTTTTGGATAATGGCCATTCTGGCTGGTGTGAGGTGATAGCTCATTATGGTTTTCATTTGCATTTCCCTGATGATTAGTGATGTGGGGCATCTTTTCCTGTGCCTGTTGGCCATCTGGATTTCTTCTTTAGCAAAATGTCTGTCAGGTGTTCCACCTGTATTTTAATCGGTTTATTTGTTTTTTTAAGTGTTGAGGTATATGAACTCTTTATATATTTTGGATGTTAACTACTTATTAGATAGGTCATTTATGAATATATTCTCCCATACTGTAGGTTGCCTTTTTTGTTCTACTGATGGTGTCCTTAGGTGTACATAAGCCTTTCTAGTTTGAGGTAATTCTACTTGTTCATTTTTTATTTTGTTTCTCTTGCTTAAGGAGATGTGTCCAGGAAAAAGCTGCTCATATTTATATACAAGAGATTTTTGCTTATGTTTTCTTCTAAGAGTTTTATGGTTTCATGTCTTCCATTCAGGTCTTTGATCCATTTTGAATTTACTTTTGTATATGGAGTTAGGCAGTAATACAGTATCATTCTCTTGCATGTAGCTGTCCAGTTTTCCCAACACCAGTTATTGAAGAGGCTGTCTTTTTTCCACTAAATATTCATGGCTCCTTTATTGTATATTAATTGACCATATATAAGTGTGGATTTATATCTGGGCTTTCTATTCTGTTTCATTGATCTATGGGTCTGTTCTTGTGCCAGTACCATGTGTTTTGATTACTATAGCTTTATAGTATAGTTTGAAGTCAGGGAGTGTAATTCCTCCAGCTTTGTTCTTCTTTCTCAGAACTGCTTTGGCTATTTGGGGTCTTCTGTGGTTCCATATGAATTTTAGAACTATTTGTTTCTAGTTCATTGAAAAATGTTGGAATTTTTATAGGGATTGCATTGAATCTGTAAATTACATTGGGCAGGGTGGCATTTTGACAATATTAATTCTTGCTAACCATGAGCACTGGATAGATTTCCACTTGTTTGGTTTCTTTAAATTTGTCTCATGAGTGTCTTATAGCTTTCAGAATACAGGTCTTTCACCTCCTTGGTTAGGTTTATTCCTGGGTATTTTATTCTTTTTGATGCAATTCTAAATGGAATTGTTTCCTTGCTTTCTCTTTCTGCTAGTTCATTGGAACACAACAGATTTCTGTGTATTAATTTTGTATCCTGCAACTTTGCTGAATTCAGTTATTTTAATAGTTTTTTGGTCGAGTCTTTAGGGTTTTCTATGTATAATATCATGTCATCTGCAAATAGTGACAATTTAACTTCTTCCTTACAAATGTGGATGCCTTTTATTTCTTTGTGTTGTCTGATTACCATAGCTAGGACCTCCAGTACTGTGTGGAATAAAAGTGGTAAGAGTGGGCATCCTTGTCTTGTTCCTGATCTTAGAGGAAAAGCTTTCAACTTTTCACCATTAAGTATGACCTTAGCTGTGGGCTTGTCATATATGGCCTTTATTATGTTGAGGTACATACCTTCTATGCCCATTTTGTTGAGAGTTTTTATCACGAATGCATGTTGAATTTTGTCAGATGCTTTTTCAGCATCAATTGAGATGATCATGTGGTTTTTATCCTTTTTGTTAATGTGATATATGATATTGATTGACTGATGAATACACCATCCTTGCATCCCTTGAATAAATCCTACTTGCTCATGATGGATGATCATTTTGATGTATTTTTGAATTTGGTTTGCTAATATTTTGTTGAAGATTTTTGCATCTATGTTCATCAGGGATGTTGGTCTATAATTTTCTTGTTTTGTAGTATCTTTGGTTTTGGTATTAGAGTGATGCTGATCTCATAGAATGAGTTTGGGAGTATTCTCTCCTCATCTACTTTTTGGAATACTTTAAGAGGGATGAGTATCAGCTTTTCTTTAAATGTTTGGTAGAATTTAGCTGTGATGCCATTTGGTCCTGGACTTTTGTTTTGGGGAAGTTTTTATTTTAAGTACCAATTCAATTTCATTGGCCAGTGATTGTTCAGATTTTGTTTCTTCCTGGGTCAACCTTTTAAGGTTGTATTTCTATGTCCTATTTTTAGATGTACACAAAAACTTTTAGCACAGCCAATTAAAAGCAGTTAATTACAGTGTTTGTGTTTTTGAATCTTTAATTACCAAGGGAAAATAAATTAGTGAATTTAGGATTTAAAAAGGCAGAAACATACTAAGATCAAGACAATTTATTTTTGGCATATTAAGCTTTATTTTCTTCAAAATAGACTTTTCTCAGGGACTTAGTAATAAAAAGGAAAGAAATGGTAGCACCTAGAGATAAATTAGACTTGCTACATATTTTAGAAGGGGAAAAAGGAATGATCTAGAGCTATCATTTTAATAATAACAGAAGAAGGCTGTTTATTACAAAACTTATTGGAATGTGTTCTATACAGTATTCCCATTTTCCTGGCAATGACAGGCTCCTAAAAAGAGGATAGACTTTGAATTGTAGTAATTTATTCATATATTAAATATGCTGAATCTAAGGGAGCTCATGCTTTAAAGGAATTTTCTGATAATCTTATATAGGATTTTTAAAATGCCTATTAGCACATTTTTTTTATTAAGGTAACATTGTTATACAATCTTATGAAGGTTTCACATGAGCAACACTGTGGTTGCTACATTCACCCCTTTTATGAAGTCACACACCCCCATATACCCCATTATAGTCACTGTCCATCAGGGTAGTAAGATGCTATAGAGTCACTACTTGTCTTCTCTGTGCTATACTGCCTTCCCCGCCCCCCACCTACATTATGTGTGCTAACTGTAATGTCTCTTAATCTCCTTTTCCCTCCCTTCCCACTCACCCTCCCTACCCCCTTTCCCTCTGGTAACAGCTTATCCCTTCTTGGGGTCTGTGAGTCTGCTGCTGTTTTATTCCTTCAGTTTCTGCTTTGTTCCTACACTCCACAGATGAGTAAAAACATTTGATACTTGTCTTTCTCCACCTGGCATATTTCATTGGGC